GCCACAATGCATTCTTATTAGGAAAGCTACTCTGATTGGCTGTAGCCCTGACAGCAATATCAAGTCTAGGGTAACTTTCATGCGTCTCATGAAGCTTGACTTTAAACATAAAGCTTCATGCAAAATGTATCGTGTCCAAAGAAGCTGAAATCTGTGCGCTCATAGAGGGGAAGACACACGGATGGTGCGAGAGACTTTACGTTGTTCTCACAGAAGAGTCCTAAATCTATTGAATTAGTTTGACCAAGTCCAAGATGGCAGACCTGGATTTGGATGCAGCTTTTATCCCAGCTCTTCACAAGCCAGCAGCTCTACTCCCAATCGCAAAACACCGCGAAAGCCTTCTCTATGTCATTGAAAAATACCCAGTCACTATTGTCATAGGCCAAACTGGTTCTGGAAAAACAACACAAATACCTCAATTCCTAGAACGAGCAGGATGGTGTGCAGATGGAAAGATAATTGGCGTCACTCAGGTTAGTAAACACAAACCCATATCACCACAGAAACTAACGTTTCCCAGCCTCGGCGTGTCGCGGCAACCACAGTTGCGGTGCGTGTCGCCGAAGAAGTTGGCTGTGAGCTTGGCAAAGAAGTCGGATACTCAATACGATTCGAGGATGTGACCTCGGCATCGACAAAGATAAAGTTTCTCACAGATGGCCTCCTCATCAGGGAAGCTCTCGTCGACCCATTGCTGACGCGTTACTCGGTTATTATGGTTGACGAGGCACATGAGAGATCTATAAGTACTGATGTCTTATTGGGTCTCCTGAAGAAGATTCGCCGAAAGCGACCTGAGTTGCGCATCATCATCAGCAGTGCTACTCTCCAAGCTAAGGAGTTCTTAGAATTCTTCACAAGGAGTAGTGACGACCAGCCAAACAAGAATGGCAAAAATGATGAGATTGGAACCATCGTCAGTCTCGAAGGGAGAACTTATCCAATAGATATACTCTACTTGGAGTCACCGGCGGAGAACTATGTCGAGAAAGCAATTGACGTTGTCTTTGATATTCATACCCAAGAGGGTGAAGGAGATATCCTGGTTTTCCTGACTGGTCGAGAGGAAATCGATAATGCGATACAAGCAGTCAGCGAGCGCATGCTTGATCTCGGCTCCAAACATGGTCCCTTGATGCCATTGCCATTATATGCTGGCTTGTCTACCGAACAGCAGATGTACGTGTTTGACAAGCCGCCAGAGGGCACTCGAAAAGTCGTCTTTTCTACGAACATCGCTGAGGCATCAGTCACAATCGATGGAATTGTATTCGTGGTGGATAGCGGATTCGTGAAGCTGAGAGCATATGACCCAAGGACTGGCATAGAGTCACTCACCGCTACAGCAGTATCGAAAGCGGCAGCGTTCCAACGTGCCGGACGAGCTGGCCGAACAAAACCTGGAAAATGCTTTCGACTTTATACTGAGCAGAGTTATCAGTCGCTGCCGGATGCCAATATCCCTGAGCTTCAGAGGTCGAATTTGGCACCTGTCGTTCTGCAACTCAAGGCTTTGGGAATAGACAATATTGTGCGGTTCGATTTTCTATCCCCGCCACCGTCTGAACTCTTGGCTAAGGCTCTTGAGTTGCTATATGCTCTAGGAGCTTTGGATGAGTATGCCAAGCTCACTCGACCTATGGGCTCAAGGATGGCTGAGTTGGCTGTTGAGCCTATGATGGCGAAAACACTACTGGCAGCACCGTCCTTTGGATGCCTCAGCGAAATGCTTACAGTCGCGGCAATGACCAGTCTCGGAGGCAGCGTATGGTTCTCTCACGAAGGCGAGAAAAAGAAGATGGAGACATCACGCAGAAAGTTCGCCGTGGATGAGGGCGACCATTTGACTCTTCTCAACGCCTACCAAGCCTTTGTTACAAAGGGACGAAAAGAAGCAAAGTTCTGTCATGAGAACAACCTCAACTTCAAGTCCATGAGTCGAGCAGTCAGTATTAGAGCTCAACTAAAGCGGTATCTTGAGCGATTCAGCATTAATATAGATGAGACACTGGCTGGACAAGCATCAGCGGAGGAGAACGTAAAAAAAGCAGAACAGATACGCCGTTGTCTTACATCGGGCTACTTTGCCCACGCAGCAAGGATGCAACCAGATGGAACGTTTCGTAACGTCGAGGGTAACATGGTACTTCACGCACATCCAAGTTCACTAATGTTCAACCGCAAAGCGGATTGGGTCATCTTCCATGAAGCAATGGAGACGGGTAGCAAGATATTCATCCGGGATGTCACCAAGATCGAGAAAGGATGGCTCTTAGAATATGCGCCAGAATTTTACCAAATCACGACAGATCGGAGAGGATGAGGGGTTCGATATGAAGGGAGATGGGGCCATCGATATGTGAAACTGCCATGTCCGGGATAACTGGGATGGTATATGAATGGCGGTTTCAAAGCTTCAGGATCAAGGATAGCAATATAGGTTAAGGTGTGAGGCATTTCCCCACAGTAAAAATATCAATTTGCTTGATTTATAAAGTGAGATGACATGACTGGAGGAAGCCTTGGCTGGTCAAGGGAGTCCTTGATTCCGACATGAACTGCTATGGATATCCATGGGTTAAGCTGTTAGCCTGCCTGTCAAACACTGACCGCCATTGGATCAGACGAAACCCAATATTGATGTTTTCGTATGGTAATAGCGAGGATGACGGTGAACGGGCCGAAGACAAGGCAAAACAGAGTTCCAAACAATCCACGGTAGGTAATTTAGAACATGTGAAGGTAACAGTGGTGATAGCATCGTCTCTCCGATGTAAGGGAGCTTGATCGTCCTCACTAGTTATGGTGAACGGCTCAACTACCTAATAATAAACCATCCGGCTCCCCCGGGGGATCTATATGATATGCCGTGAGATGGCTCACGCGGAAGTCACCGATTCAAAATTACAAGCTCCATATTGACGTAGGCGAGCGATTGGTAATTCCTGCAAGATTGAGCGATTTCAAGATTTTTCTTCAAATAGTTTGTGCGTGCATACGTAGGCAAGCCGAATACTAATAATAAGCCAGCAGCAGGATATGAGTGACGGAGATGAGGGCAATATGCATATCTCAGCACTAGACAGCGCATAGTGGGTGAGGGTTAAAATTATGACCCACGATAAGCCAAGATCCTAATGCAAGAATCTGCTATGGGAACGATTCAATTTTGTGACACCGGCGATATGCATCTTGATATGAGGGAGTTGGTGATCTCGAACAGCCACTTGGGGCTAGTTAGATAGCCAGGGGTTGAAACCTGGAAACAGACGGTGTGATTGATATCAAGTTTGACTGTGTTTGTGAGGTGAGAAGTGTTTTTCGCTTTCATTTCAGGTGGCTTGTCTTGCCCAGGATATCGGTCTCATCCAGTTGACCGGTAACGGGAGAAGACAATACGTCTTCGGATTGTTACTGACACTGTCTTGAATGACTTCGTCCAAGACCATCGAGACCGTCGATAGAGGCCCGATTATGTACGTAGCATGCATTTATTGAACTCTCGCAACCGCGTACCTGCAGCAGCCACTTCAGTTGATATGATATGGCCCCTGACGCCACTGCGGACAGGCGGGGAGGCTTTCTCCCCCTTTATTTACTTTCCTCTTCGGGGCTTGGTCTTGTTAGAGCGGAGCTGTTCCATGACGTCCGTTGGCTGGTCTTGGTCCTCGGCCTCCACATGATTGCTGGGGTTAGCCTGGCTGCCGCTCGCGTGCCTTGCATGAAGCGCTCATAACTTAATGCATTCTTTGTGATTTTACTGGTCAGGGGTTGGTTGTGCATCTGGGTTATGCGAGATTGTACCTGGTTGTGCACCCACAGGCGCAAGCTGATGCTTCCTTTTGGGCTTTGATGCTCGATGTGACTGGTGGTTTTTATGCGGGCGCTAACGGGGTGGCGAGGCAAAAAGAGACTTTTTGGAAATTAAATGGTTGAGAAACTGAGTTTTGTCAATTGATTGATTTTCGGATTGCTCTGCTAGAGAGAGTTGGTTGTTGTCGATTGTTGTCTGTGGAAATGCGGTCAATGCATCGCTCACCAGAAGCAACCGACCTGGTTAATGAGCTTGTGCACTGAATATCGTACAAGGCTTCCATGACGAGATTCTTTTTTCTGCTCTGACCAAGGCCTCGTTGCAAACCCTTCCCATGGGATCCAGTAGGATGTCCACCTTAATCTCTCTTGGAGAAGACCTTGGAAGGGGTCTGGAAGTGAACAAGGGTTCGACCACCAATCCAATGGTTCAACCTGGTGTCACTCCATCTCGCTCCGTCTGAATCCCCTGATTGGGATACCGTTTAAGAGCTATGCTAACTAAAGCAAGGCTCATTCATTGTCTGGGATGGACGGGACCTGACCTGATCCATGAATGGTCATTATCCCCCTGGCCTGGTTGTCTGGGCCTGCGTTGGGCGGCCCCTCAGGCATTAGTCCGCTGTGAGAACAGTGAGTCTTGTCGCTGTAGCAGGACATCTCAGCCCCTAGAATGACACTCCAGCCTCCAGGTACCGGCTTTCGAGGCTGTCCTTGGTGGAGGTTCCAGTTCCATTACTCCTGTGCCTCTCCCGTCGTGCTCCACTCCTACACCTCCACTCACTCGCTAACCTCCTCCTCTTTACCTACTCTCCTTCTCTTGTCCATTCGCCGTTCCTTTCTTTCGTTCTCCAACTGTTCATCGGTCGACGACAACAGCATCGTATCGTTCTGCATTTCTGCCAAAGCTGCCTGCCAGCGGGCTCGTCACTCTTTTATAAAACTGCTTAATCTAGAGTCTTGTTTACACCAGGCTCGAGTCATTCGTTTCGTTACGGTCTATTGTTTTAATGACCTAGTCCATTCTTTACACACCAACAACATCACAGCCGCTCGCTCACTTGCTTTTGCTCGCTGGCTTTTGGCTTTGTCCAGTCTTGTTCTTCTCGATCTTACGGTGCCCAGTATCTGCTTTGCCGCTTCTCGCGATCCTTCCACGAAAACGATTTCAGATTCATTCGATTACTGCATCAACATTGGAGACGATAATACTCGACGCATGCCAGCCGTCTCCCGACACTGTCAATCGCACTACAGCTTAATGGTTATGACAGTTGTGCTTGGAGTTTAATATTCGACAATTCTTAATATTCTTACGCCCATTTCACTTTCTCGCGGAGGAAATCACACTTGACGATCAACATCTCTTTGTTTGTTTGGAAGCTTTGAGTATATGCGCTAGCATACAACGCCAACATGGGGATCGCTCATTACGAAGGTGCTCGCCTTCAACCTCGCACCAACATTGAAGATGTCTCTTCAGCTTCTCAAAATGGAGTCGCATCGTCTTCCTCGATCTTTCGTCGGCTCGTCAGCCGAGAGAACTGCCAAGAAACGAACAGTTGTGCAGCATCCAGCGCCAACTCGAACTTGGTAGTTCCCATCGTTGTCGCTATTGTGTATGCTACCAACCACGCCTTTGTTTTTTCGATTTCAGTTGGTCTGCTGGATCGCGATATGCTGACCATGTTATGTGTAGGGTTCCTATCGTTCTCATCGCAATCTTCCTGTACTACCTCCACCGTAAGAACATGAAGAGGCAGATGCTCGAGGATGCGAATGATCCTCACAAGAGCCTGGACTTTGGACTCGACGGGGCCGGCGCAAAGAAGTCTGCCCGCCGAAGTCTCTTTATGGGAGGGGGTGAGAAGGGCCTCAACCATAAACCCAGTCAGCTCTCGATGGACATGAACCTCTCTTCGCCCTACCTGCTGCCACCCGGTCTGCAGGAGTCGCGAGAGTCGCTGAACTCTTTGGCTAAGTCTTTGGGAAATGATAATCAGGACCCTTACCAGTATGTCGCGACCATCACGCAAAGCGAGACCGGCTCATTGCGGTCCTTTAATCCCAAGGATTCCCTCTCGCACAATACTAAATTCAGTAGTCCTCGTAATTCTGGCAAGCCTGGTAGCATGAAGATGCCCCCATCTCGCATGAACTCTCTGCCTGAGACGCCAGTCTCTGCATCCGATTCCAAGGTCGATCCATTTGGCACTCCCAAGGCGCCTGCGCCAACTCACCAGCCAAACTCTCCTTTCGACGAGAAGGACGGATTCCACCCTGCTCCCATCATTCCTGAGATTGGAGTCGTTTCCGATTTTGATGAGAAGCGTGACGGCGCCACCGTACAGCCACCTCCCGCAGTGAGGAGCAAGACTCCTGAGTTTGAGTTGCCCAACTTCTCTTCGGAGCCCGCGAACGATTTCCCTCTACCTCCTGCCAGGGAGCATGAGGCCACCGGTCTGGGTTTGAACTTCTCTCTTCCTCAGCCTAAATCCCCAACTGTGACTTCCCCTGATGCTCCCAAGTCCGCTCCTCTCCCCCACGACCGCCAGAGTGATGGTTCCAACTATCAGTCCTACACCCCCGCGGCTGACATTTCAAGTTACTACGAAGACCACGAGGACGACTCCCGTGGTCGCACTATGCAACGTACCTCATTCGTTGAGGATACACCTCAGTATCAAGGCCTAGGAGTTCCTCAACAGGATAACAAGAGACTCTCGGTCGGATTCCGCCCCCTTCCTCCGGATGAGATCACTGAGTCCGAGGATCCCGAATACCGTGCCAACCGTATCCGTTCTTTCTACAAGGAGTACTTCGAGGATACCAAGGAGGCACCCCCACCTATGCCCCCCATGCCCCCAATGGCTCAAGGCAGAGGCGGCCCTCAGTACTACGAGGATGTTGACCAAGGCTTCATGATGGGCGGTGACCAAGCTTACTTTGATCCTGAGACAAATGCCTTTGTCATGCCCTACGCTCAGCCCGTCACTCGCCGTGCCATGACACCTCCTCCAGCTGGCCGCCGCCCCGGCCCCGGCCGTCCTGGACCTCGTCCTCGTGGCCCCAACGGTTCTATCGGAGGCATGAGCTACCAGAGCGGACCTGGAGGGCGTTCCCGCGCCGGTTCTGCTCTTGGCCCTCGACCTGACTCTTCAGCCTCAGCCCGAATCCGACAACCCCCCAGGAAGAGACTTCCACCACCCGCACCCTTGACCACCCTTCCAACTCCCTCCAAGCTCAAGGATGATAACATTGCCCTCATCAACGCCGCCGACTTTGCTCCTCCCAACACTATCCGCGACACTGCGGCTGGTCGCTCTCAAAGTCCCTTCGGCGAGCGACGACCTTACTCGCCCTCTGTTCCTGCTGCTCAGACTCTTGTCTCGCCTTTCGAGGAGCTGACCGCTCTTCCCAGCCCGTAAGTTTTACTCTACTACACAATCAGACAAACTTTAGCTAATGTTCAACAGTCATCTTCTCCGCAAATCCAGTACATTCACTGGACTTGACTTCGCACCTCCTAAGAGATTCAAGGATTCAGACACCATGAGCGACGCTGGCAGCATCAAGAGTAACCGCAGCGGCATGTCCCAGGCTCAGCTTGGTGCCATCCGCGGCGGAGCTGGACGTGTAAGTCGCCTGCCTGGCGACCAAGTGTTCACCCAACAAGCGTTGCAAGATACATTGAAGCCTTCATGGGGAATCCGACCTTGATGAAAGGTAGCGCAACAACACATGCAGTGGATTGGCCGATGGATTGGCTACCACTGACTTGTCAAAAACTTTCATAGTGTTGTCTTTTGACATTGCATTACACACAGCGTGCGCCGGTCTTGGTCAACTTTACACATTTCTTCACTTCAAGGGCGTATTTTAGGGTCATGATGTCTTGCGATATTTTCTTTCACACTGGGAACCTGCAGGCTTGCATATTATAGAAGGTCTTTGGAAACCACACGACAAACTAGATGACGACTGCCGGCTCGGACAACGTACGTTCGGCCGTTGTATATAGGTCAATTGGATCTGGCGTTGATCACTTCAACATGGCCATCTTTGTTTCTACCATTCTACTACTTATTTGGAACTGGATGAGAAACTATTGTGAAATGATACGTAAATTTGTCCATGAATTATGATGATCTGAACCTGGTTCGTGACAGTCCCAAAAGGGCAGCTCGAATGATATCTATCTCCTGTTGGGCCACTAGGGCGCACCAGTATCGCAACACCACCGATCCTCCCGTATTGAGTGAAGTTATGATGGATGGCAAGGAATATCACTCAAGCAAGGCATAACACGATTGGCAGATCTAAAAGAAGATTTTGATATCGTGGATACCCAAGATCAGCAGTGTCTGTCGAATCAAGGCTTTGTTCCTGGGGGCGATACAACGACACGCGATCAAGTTACTATTTTTGGTTAATGCTGTGCTTTAGTAGCTGCGGAGGCCAACGCCACCGGGGCAGAGCGAACAAGAACTAAGCTGTGATGAGAAGATACTGAGGCTTATAGTAGTAATCGGTAGATATTATTAACGAATTCATTGATTTGTTTGTATGTAAAATGTCCTGCCAAGTTACGTTGAATCGCTGAGTCGAATTGCCTGGGTCATGGAAGAATAAGGATTCCTGTTAGAGGCTGGAGACCTGATTCAAGTCAGGCTTACGCAGCGTCTTAGACCAAATTTCCTTTTCCAGTGTCAAAATCGAGAAACGTGGATGTCTTAGGTTTAGCATTCCATTTTGAAGAGAAGCTTTTCAATTCAAAGTGCAATTCGATCTCAAGCCTTCCCTCCATGTGAGCGTTGGTGTTGGTTAAAAGCCAGCGTCGCATCGCATCGACTCTTCAGGACATGGCTCCGAGATTACAACAGAGCGTATAATCCGTCAGTTAAGATTGAGGCACGTGAGGGTGCAAGATATCATTTTTGAGTCCTTCAGCCGAGGAGATTTGATCAGATCAGATCAGATAGGAAGCAGAGTCTAGATTGTCCCTGATGAGTGCATGCGCACATGAGAATGACATTCCATTGCTGCAGGTTGAGATTAAAGGGTTCCCGGCACGCTATAGAAATACTTGAATACCAACCAAACATGTGATCTCACTCGCTATAACCCCTCGAATTTCCTCAAAAGAGAAGAGTAATGTCTGCGAGGTATTTAAAAAAGGGTATTGAGAGGCCTCTTGGAATCCGTCAGTGGAACTAGAGTTGAAGGGTTTAATTACTTGGCTTCATCATCATGACGTGTTGAGCCATGTAGTGAAACGATAATCAATCTTGAGGGGTCCTGAAGACTATTTTTTAAAGACAGCTTCATAGAATTATTGTTGTATTAGTCTACTGCTGTTGGTGGTCGCCGTCTTGTGCTTGAGTCTTTACATTTGGATGCGCTGCAGGGGAAATTAAAGCCCCCGTGCAGATGCAAGGGAGACGGAAAGTTACTTATATAGCTTTAGATATTAAATGCCAACAAACAATAATTTTGCATATCATAGCACAGGTAATTCTGAATAATTGTATTAATCTTGACCTCTGACGCTTTCAGGTCTTGTCGCTCCATTGATCATCCCGAAGCCAACACAAACCAAAGAGTCACAGCCTCACTGGGTGGCCCGTATAATCGTCTTGGGGTCTCCACGCAAGAGTCCCCGGCTAAAAGACAAATCGAGAGATGGCGGCGATACCTAATTAGCTGGGTGAATGTGGCTGAGAAATATAATCGTATTCCATTAGACTTTTGAGTAAAATGGCTGTGTGGAAAGGCCCGATGCTGATTCAAAGAATATCGTGTGGCACACTCTTTCAACTTGTGATCTCCTTTCTTTCTGACTTATGTTTGTTGTTCCTTTCTCTTTCACATTACTTACACACGCACATACGTTTTGTCTTGTCGTTTGTTGATCTTGACTCTTCTTGTCCCAAAACGAGTGGACCAGGATAGCGTACGCCTCCCGAAAGCAAACCGGCACCCGTTTTCCCTTTATTTTTAGTCGCCGTTCCACAGTGAGAGAATTTTAGGCTAAAGAAACGGTCGATAAAAAGTTGAAGTTAGTTGAGTTACAACTCAGTTAAGCTTGTGTATAGCAGGTACAAACTCTGTTAGGTACGTTACTCTGTTACGTTACGTCAAATCTCAAGATCAACAAGAGCCTTGGAAGAAGGCGAAAAGAACTGGATCTTTTGCTCAGGCCCTGCATGGCAGCCCTGCCCTGGAAGTTTAGGTTCATGGCCCCAGGTTCAGGTCCCGGTCACCTCAGGTTGTTACTTGTTAGGTGGTCGACCCAGTAAAAGCCTCCACCCCAACCGACCTCCAGCGGCCGCTAGTACCTTTCAGTTGGGTATTTGCTGTCCATGTCTTCTGTGTTTTCTGTCTCAGTCTCACCCCCGACCTTCCAAATCCAATCAGTCACCCAACCCAACCCAGTCCAGCCCAGCTTAGCCAACCTCACTCTCGCTCTCATTCTCGTCTTCATCTTAATCTTCGCTTCTCCTCTATTTCACTTCTTCTCATACATCACCAGGTCAATTTCGAAATATCGCTTAATCACTCTCGACGCGTCTTTCTTAGCGAATAACCTCGTTACTCCTTGATTCTCAAACGGATCGACGGCTGGTCAACAGTTCCAAAGGTACGCCGTGTCACGATACATTGCATCCAATCCGATGCAATTGTCCCTGTTGCTCGTCATTCACCATCAATCCTTCAATCCAATTCTCCCTCGACGATCCCCATACAAGTCAATTTGAGGTCCCAGTTTGGATGAAACTTGTCGCCAATATTGTCTCCTATCATTCCGACCTTATCACGTCTAATCCATCAACGACCCCCTTGTGTTGATTGACTTGATTCGTTGCTGCACCTTCTCCCTTGCTACATGTCCTCACTATTCTTGACCACAATCTGAATACCCTCAATTCTCAATGCGAGTCTTGTCTTGTCGCTAACATGATTCTCGATCACAGACAACTCCCCGTCGTGAGCACGCTAGACTTAGCCATGTCCACGCCGGGTCAGGGCGCTCAGCCCACAGAGCCATCGGCTCCTAATCCATCTTCCGTCGACAATAACAGCAACGCCAGCCAACCTTCGTCTCCCGCTGAGAATTCATCACCAGCCCAACCCGCAACTTCGAACCCAGCTTCAAACAACAGTCCTTCGGCCACGCAGCCGAGCCCATCCGCCGACGAAACACAACCAGCGACTAATGACGCGAGCCAAGCATCTGATAATGCCAGTGCCTCTGAAACAGCTGCTCCTGCGCCAACATCGGACAATGCATCGCCTTCGTCCGACGATCCCTTACCTTCACCGACAAGCTCCAGCAGATCTACTCGAGCAAACCCAACTACTGAGGCGGCAGAGGCATCTTCAACCGATGACAGCAATGACCGACAGAGCACTACGGAAGAGAGCGAGGCGTCTGCCACTGAAATTACTACATCTGAGGTTTTGTCGACTATTGTTACCGTGACGGGTAGCCAGGGACCTGAAACGAGCATTGTTTTGGTTACCGCGGTTCGTACTCAGAGAGTTACCGCTACCGAAGCCTCCGCTTCCGCTACCAGTACCGACAATGCCGATGCTATCGGTGGTAGTGGGAGCGGAAATGGCAGTGGTGGTCTGAGCCAGAAGAGCAAAGTTGCTATCGGCGTTGCTGTGCCAATTGCAGCGATTGCCATCCTTGCGCTCCTCGGTCTATTCTGGTGGAAGAAGCGCAAAACTCGACGACAAGCCGAAGAGGAGCGACGAAAGGAAGTTGAAGATTATGCCTACAACCCCAACGCCGACCCCACAATCCCTGCAGTTGGAATGGCAGATGGTGGCTACGAGATGAGGGAAGATGGCTCTTCCGGTTACCGTGGCTGGGGCAACACTACTCTTGGCTCTACTGGTCGCAAGGCTTCTACCACTCTGTCTGGTGGTGTCACTGGAGCCTACTCAGATATTACTTCGCCTACCCGGGGCAATATGTCAGACGGTCGCTCTGGCGAGCCTCTTATGGATGGCTCACACTCGCCAGAGGGCGAAATTCTCGGAGCAATGGGCCCGTCTGCTGCCAACAACCGGGGCGCAGATGTACACCGTGGACCATCCAACGCTTCCTCCTCTTACAGTGCTGCTGGCCGATCCGATGCTTCGGATCCTATGGGAGTACCATATGGCGCTGGTAACGGGTACTACGACCAATACTCACAGAACCCCTATAGTGAAAACGGGCCACAACAGGCAGTCATTCGCGATAACCCGGCACGACGAAACACACGCATTGAGAACCCGTCTCACTACCCACAGCAGAGCGCGGGTATTTCACAAAACTTTTAAACTCTCACTTGATCCTCCGTGCTACCAAATTCGGTCGCCACGATTTTTCCTATGTCTTTAGAAAGATACCCACGCCTTTCGATAACTCTCGCTAGGAGGTGGAATATGCACTCGAATGGCATTTCACACTTCCGGCATCTCCTTTATTCCATCAGTCACCTACTTTAAGTAGGTTACAACTTAATCACTCACTTTTTTTCGGAACCCTGAGTCCCATCAGGAGATCCTTTTCCTTTTTGGCTACCACACCTTCAAAACGGAGCATTTCTGGTTCTTTTCTTTCTTCCTATCTAGCTTCAGAGGGCAACAACGACAGGGTGGCAACCATTGGAATATGTTTACATCATGAGGTGGAATCTGTACATATGAGGAACGATGGAGTTATCTTGCTCTCTGTCTGGGATGATTGAACGGGCAATTATTATTCGCCTGGTAATATTTGGGTTAAGAGGATGTGTAAAAAAAGTTATGTCAAAGTTGAATAGTGGATGGTGTGTCAGATGAGTTGTGTAAGGGGGATTTTGTGTGGTCTTGTAGAAGTCGGCGGTTGAACAATGTTGAAACGTGGATTTATAGAGGCATATAGCAAGCGAATTGATGAAATGTTATGTAACAGTCCTTGTACGACCAGTTATTCACGAAGTGATGCAAGTAACAGCAGTTCTGAGCCTCAAACTATCATCAACTCAGTAAATCTTGCCTCTTCGTTTGAGTAGTATACCACCATACATGTTTGGCATGGATGTCACCGAAAAGCAACTTGCGGCTTCGTTGAGACACTAAAGAAAAGCTAAGACTTGTTCCTAAGATACAAGTGAGTTTTCCTGATGCTAATGCTGGTTACCAGATACCTCAAGTGGCCGGCCTCTCAGTTCTTCTACGGAGGCTCACGATTAAGCTAATGTTACTGAGTCTACATGCCACTCTTTGGATGACGGACACGGGAAGACATACAAAACAATTCTGTGATTGTATGATCTGTGATAGTCTCAATTCTGAAAGTAAGTTTTGCAGCAGCGCACAGTGGTACAATCTCTGGCTGCGTGAATGTTCTCTGGTACGCCAATGTCCTCTGAAAACCAATGGACAAACGCCCGAAGATAGAAACCTTCGAAGCAACAATATCGCAATAACAAAAATGCACATAACCAGTGCTATAACTCCAATCCTTCCAAACTCCAAGCTTAAGGCAAATAAATTAGGGAGAACGAAATGCCTCTACTCCACGAGAAAAAGGCTTCTGCAAAATGTGAGACCAAGCACTTGCCTGTCTTTCAAAACGATCACTGTCCCTTGAGGGACTCCAGCATGGCCAACTCCTTACGTCGTTTCTTCTCTGCCCATTCTCGGCTCGCAATTCTAGAGCGCTCCGCAGCCTGCTCGCGAGCAAGGCGTGTTGCTTCCTCACGCTCCCGCCTCTCACGCTCCCTGTCTCGTGTGAAGCTTGTGTTATCTCGCTGGAAAATCTCCTTCCCACGAAGCCTCAGTTGATACGCCTCCTCAGCAGTGAGCGTGGTGCGCTTTCCACCACCGCTTCCGATAGAAGTTGAGGTGCCCCGGCTAAGGTCTTCTCGTGATGTAGCAGTGGAAAGTCGACCTCGGCTCTGGGTAACTGGAGCCTCTGACACCGGGGTTGGTCTTGGGACCTGAATTGACACCCGCTTTGCTTTAGTTGAAGTTGATGTCTTAGCTGCCTCGTCTTGTGGGAGCTTGCCTTGTCGAGCAAGACTGGTAATCGTTTCTCGCGGAATGCTACCCGGCATTAAACTATTTCGCACAGGCCTCGCTTTGAACTCTCGCTTCTTCTGCTCCTCTTCTTCTTGTGCCTTGAGCCGGGCCTCACGCTCCTCGCGCTTACGGCGAGAGATTGCTTCCCCCGGAAGCTCGAAGTTCGGCTTCGTGAGTGGTTTACTAGACTTTGGTCTCGGAGGAGGCGCATAAGCTTTCTGAGCCTCAGCCTGTTGGGCTCGACGAGCCTCGCGCTGTTCCTTCAGGCGTCGAGAGACAGCCTCACCAGGAAGCTCAAAGTTGGGAACAGTAGTGGGCTTCGTGGACTTGACAGGTGCCTTCAATGGTGCGGATTGAGAGTTGGTCAGCTTTCCACGTGTGGCCTGTGTTTTCGACTTTGGCGTATTGTCTGAATCATCCTGCTTCTTGTCTCTAAATACTAGAGAGGTTGATCGTCGAAGAGGAAGCTGTGGCCTCTCAGTCTGCTTGATACGGACTGTGGAAGACATGCCGATTACGGATGCCCTTTTGGAAACGGTCGGCTTCTTACTCGTGGAGGGCGGCTCAAGGTGTTTAGCACTGGGTGCAGTATTCTCAGGGACGGGAATGCGTTGTGGTTGGGTGAAAGCCTTGATGGCTTCGAGCTCATCCTCAAGTTTATCAAGTTCCTCGAAAGAGTCCTCAATTCGAGGCACCGAGAAGGACCCGGTCCTAGAGGAGCCTGCGTAGCTACTGCCTCTCTCACTGATCAAAGTAAGAGAAGGCGAAACAGGCTCTATCGTCTCGATGACCTCGGGAATCTTAAGTGGGACATTTTGATGAAGCTCATATGCTGGAGGCGGAGGCAATGCCATATTGGCAGTATTCCACGGAACTTGGGAAGGGTCAAATCCCAAAGCCAGATACTCCTCAGCAATCAATGGTGTGGCTATAAGATTGAAGACGTCAGCTTCGGAATTGCCGACAGGGTCCGGACGGCGTGACAGCAAAGAGCAGCCATAAACCGTGGTCTCGACGTCGTGGCGATCGTTCTCACTGTCGTCGGAAGAGCCGTGGTCCTTGGCGATACTCGCTGGCACTGGAAACGCCAGAAGCCATTCAAACTGACCTGCTCGATGATTCTCGCAATCGTGTCCAATTTGAGGCACTGCATCCAACAACGGGTGTGATTTGAACGTGGTTTCTTTGTGAGCTGTGTTAGCAGATTGTACAACAATAGCGAAGTCAATTTGCAAGCTGTGATTTGAAGTTATGGTAACGAAGACGTAAGAAACGAACCTGGAGGGGGTAGCTTGTAAGTTAAAGGTGAAAGACCACTGGGCGCAGTATCCAAGTCGCTGGCTTCAATTGATTCTTCAGGAACTACATCGAGGAGTTCGAAGCTATCAGAATCAATGAGTGAGCGCCGTGGCCCTCGAGATGGGTATGTCTTTGTAGGCAGCTTGATGGGACCAGTCTTGAAGTACAATTGCTGGTTCTGGTTGTTTTCCCGTCGAGGCGAGTTCCAAGCAAGACTCTTGTTATGAACTTGATCAGCTGAAAGCTCTTGAAGAATCCCTCGAGATGACGGGGAGGGAGAGGGGATCAAAGAGGGACGTGTATCAGAATTGAGCTCGATGAAATTAACATCCTGGCTGGCCTCGGGCCCTGGAGAGGCCAGGGCCTTGTTAGTGGCACGGTGGACTTGGGGTTGATGACCCATGCTTGCCATGATAGTGGCCATGGATGCGGATATGGATGGCCTCTGAACAATGAGCCTCTTGGACGGAGTTCTTAATGGAGCCGAGGGAGACCCCTAAGCTAACAGCGAGGCTCGAAAGCCAGGGCTGTGAGAGGCTCTTGAGAGACAATGATTAGAGATTGGGGCGCCACCAGGCGTGTCGTAGTTCAAATTCCAGGGAATATTAGCCAGGAACCTGAGCGCAATTTCACGAGTAGCAGGGATCAGAGTATCAAGGCGACGGCCAACAGCGGGGCCTTGTCTGAGTGTGACAGAGTGAGTACAGGTACAGATCGCCAAATGTGATGTGATGTGATGAAATTTGATAAAAAAGCAAACGACCAAAATATCTAGCAATGGTGAATGGGGAGAAATGCTGCTGCTGATGTTGATGATGGGGAGGGGAGGGGAAGAAGGCTTGTATGTTAAGGCAACGTCAATAAAAACAACAACAACAACGAGAACCACGGCAACCGCAAACCTGCATACATGTTGCCATCCAACTGTAGTCTTTCGCAGTTACAGGTTGTGCCTTCTATTTAAGTACCTGTTTACTATCTTCAGCAGGCATTTCTAATCTCTTTCCCCGTACAAACTGGACAGTTAACGCCATCTGAACTTTATCCATAATTGTAAACTTCATAACTCAATTGTCGAGTCATGTCTAGTCTATCATTTCACAATTTCAACGGCTGTCATCTCCACGAACTCAAAATCGCGTTTCATTGGCCGGCTTACAAGATGACTGGCCCCAGAGCGGGAGTCCCACTGTGCAGCTCATACATACATAAGTTCCAGGTGGGGTATAATAAATACAGCTCCAGATGTATTCAAATAGAATCATCATCTCGGTACTGCATCTAGCCTATTAGACAGATAAATAAATATAGGTAAAACTGCTCATTAGGGCGGCCAATATCTGAACTCTATCAAGTCTTTGGAATTTGGAGTTCATGCCAAGCCTTCCGCGTTATGGACCATCTTTCTCTAGATCGATGGGCTTTTATCTCGTTGCCTGTTGACATGAGTTACTGAGATCCACTTCTACTGCATATGCAGTTCAAGATGACATGCACAAACAAATATCCACAAATACATTATCGTATAATGATGGCTGATAAAACGATTCACAATGGAGGTTATTAAGATACTCAAGGGGAGCCAGTAAGCTCGCAATGGATGCGTAATTTGTCATTTTCTTGACTAGAAAGTCCAGAGGAGGGTTTAGGAATTAGCCATGGAAGACGACATGAAGTATATAGCCACCTGTATCGTCGCTCCATACCAATGCTAAGAACTACATCGACTACTAGCTATCCTCTAGGGCCTGGTAAAGGATTCATAACTTAACACACTCGAATTCCTCGTTTAGCCTTTTGTGGCTTCATCAGATCTTCCTCGAATCGAAACCACTTTTGTTGCCTTTTTTCAGCCAGGCATAGTATCAGTGGACCAGCGTCAACAAGTGATTGCATATCACCTCTCCAAGGATCACCTCAAGTTGCCACGATATCCTGGTGCCTTTGGGTTGAAAACTTATCACCAAAAACGGGAAATTCAGGTGTGTTCTCAAAGACAAGCCCTGATTTCTGTGGGTCACTCTTATTCTTCGTGCTGTACACTCATTCATCCACAAGTCCCCTCCCAGACATCAGTTCCGCCGTTCGATGGATCCCAGAAAGCAGTCGGGGCATAATCTTCCTATCGGAGCGTCCTCTCAGAATATTGCGCTGGAATAGTTGGGAGCTGCAACTCTGTTTGCTGCGGCATGGCTCAAGGATGCCAGCATCCAAAAACAACCTCGTCGAGATGGTAAGGAGCTTGCGGCGTTTGTCAAATAGAAGCTGCCTGTAGCATATCCCCATATAAGCACCCATGAATCGCGAGGCACTCTAAAACTGGGAGGAAGATATCCCGGCTTTCGTAAGTTTTGACCGATGATGAAGTCTTTTCATGATTCTTCTTCCTCGGCTGCAGCTTCTGCAGCTTCCGCCTGAGCTTGGAGAGCCGGTGCATGCTCTGTTGGAATTCGGACTAGTGTTTGAGGCAGAGGCCCTGTTGGATCTTCTGATGCGTTTGTCGGATCGGCTGCCGTCTTCGCCAGTTTGGCTATTGAATAGTTAGACAAGCTCAACAGCCATCAACTTTTAAGAACATACAAGAAGCCATGTTGATGGCACGTAGCACATTATGCCAGTTTCCAACAACGGCTGCAATTGCTACCGAGAGTCAGTCTAAGCACCCAACAGCTTCTCAGAGGCTCATTACCCTCTGTTCCATCGGAAAGAGTCAAGAGTTTCTGTTCCAAAGCTTCCATTTGTGTTGCGACCGCTGCGCTGAGCTCTCGAAGCTCTTTAAGGTTTTCGAGTTCGGCCTTTTTCTCTTCGATTCGCGCTAATAATGCTGGCGACTGTCCACTTGATGAAGCAGACGCGCTCGGTGCGCGCATATGCGAGGATATCGGTCGCGTTGGATATGACATGGTCGTATTTAAGGCGTATCACCAAACTTGGAGTAATTCGTGACGTCTTTAGCAGTAAAGTTGAACACTGCGTTTCCGTCCAACGATGGTGGGGTTCAACGTGGGGAGTTCCGTAACTGGGGCAACCGGTAACCAAGCGCTATGACAAAAACAGTTACGACAGTAAATAGATGCAATCAAAAATTCCCTTTTTCAGACCGACACTCAACAACACTCTGTGACTTGTGCGAAAGCATATCAGCAACGTCCTACTAACTCCACAGGAAGCCTTTGCTCACATTGTTACGAGCCATCGAATTATGAGCTATGGCTAGACTGAACGAACCCCCCGTGTCTACGGACAGTCTCGAAACGCGTATGTTCACCCTCTCGAGCTCCTATAAGTAATATGACGCGGGCTAACCATGTCTTGTTATCAAGTTCGAAAAAAACTTCTACGCCAGAACCGCGATCTTGCAAAATCAAACAACATACGTGCCCTCCGCATCCGAGAACTCGAGAATGACTGCGCATGTATGCTATCAGAGAACCTGGAGCTCAGAGGTCGTATCATAGAGCTAGAGAAGGAGCTTGAAGATAACGATACTCGAAGAATTGCTGATCATGCACTTGCTATCAAGGCGAAGCTTGAATCCCAACTTACAGAATGGGGTACCCTTCTTGCTGGTCTTGGCCTTGAGCCGCCTATGAAGCGACACTCTCCACGACCAAGAAAGTCAACAAAGTCCAGGTTGAGCTTCAGCTCAGCTCGACCCAGTCCTTCACAGCGACGCCTTAGAGATATGGCCCGTGAAATTGAGGAACTGGGACATATTTCAGAAACCAAGTCCTACCCGAGACAGTCCATGAAGTGAGTCATCTTATCAGCATAAACAGAAGTTCTCTAACAATATACAGCCAAGAACAAATCCTAGCACTTCGGTCAGAGGCCGACAACGATGACATGGCCGACACATCTCAATCACCAGATATTGGACCTCCTCCTGTCTCCCATTTCATCGAGGAAGAGCCAGTCAAGGTTGACTCACCCACACGCTCACGCCCTTCACCAACACATATACCAGCACCCATACAAGAGAGTCCCACAAGGAAACTCGCACCACCCGAAAAACTCACATCACCTCAGACCACCAAAACCTTACCGAGATCACCTTCGCCCGAAAAGAAGCAACAAGCAAATGCCACTAAACCCAAGGAAACGGAGCCAGTCAAGGCAAAGCCCTTAGCAACCAGATCAATCGAGACTAAGGTACAAGAAATCGTCGATGAAACCCCGGTACCTCAACCCCAGCCAGTCAAGGTCGGATCAAAGCGAAAGCTCGCCGCTCGAGATGATATGGTTACGAGTAGATCCCAGCGGGCGAATAACGAAAACGAGCCTCCACGAAACGCTACTGACAAGCCTTCGATTCGTGAGAAGGCCGGAGGACGAACATTGAAAGAACTTGGTAATATGAGAAAGGACGCTCGTGAAAAGGCGAGTGCGACAGGCACAAGGAAGCCCCTCGCAGCCAAGAGCACTAACGACGATTTGACCTCGCCAAAGAAGATTTCCAAACCAGTTGCGACTGATGAAGTCGCTGCAGCCAAAGCGGATCTCATGAGATCAAAGGCTTCCCAAGAGAGCCCCAAGCCCAGATCCAAGACTTTGGCTCCTATCACCATTGAAACTGTACTCGAGCCTCCTACGGCCCCTGAAGTTGTAGAGGTGCCATGCGGACTCACAACACCTTTCACAGACTCAGCGCTTCTCTCCCCCAACTCGCCAGATACTGCCGCATCCCAGGAACCCGGACGAGGAGGAACACCTCCACCTGGCGATGTCAATGCGAGCAGAGAACCAGCAAGGCCCAGCCGACGAAATAGGACCGCAGTCAGCTATGCAGAGCCTAACCTCAGAGACAAGATGCGACGACCCACCAAGGAGATGCTCGACGCTGTTGCTGGAGAAGGCAAATATGCTCGAAGGTCTAGTGTAGCTGAGCAAGCCCCAGACACAGCCAGAACGAAGCGTGAGAGCAGTACTGAAGACTCATGGAAGAATCTTCCCAGTGCCAATGCCAACAACACAGAGAACGAGCCTGGGAGCATTCCTGCAAGCCCTCTGGCTGGTAAAGGTTCACCTCCTGGCATCCATAAACTTATAGCTATGCGAGGTGGCAGACGCACATCTATGATGATTCAAGATATTGTTACCAGCAGCGAAACCTCACATGAGGATGGAGAAGTCAAGGAGGAGACGGCTTCTGACACTACTGGTGTCAGCGAAGTTGATGTTTATGAATTCACACCCTCATCACCACAAAATGACGAAGAAGCTCCTGCCGAGATCAAGAAGAAGGCCACTGCTCGTCGACCGTCACGGCGTGTCTCTTCAGCAGTTCACACCGAGGATGGCGCTGGAGCTAGAGAGCGCGCCTCATCTAGGCGAAGGAGTATGATGTTGTAATGATGCATATTGCAATAGCGGGAGTTCGGTAGAGCAGTTGGGCGTTTTTCTCATTTGTTGTTCTTGTTTGTTCAAAAGGAGTACGTTGCTTGTCGGCGCTGATACTGCTTCGATGGATCATACAGACTGGTCACATGCCCAAGATACCTCTACAAAGCGATGGATAATGGTGTTTATTTTTGTCAATATTTGTATTTACAGTTTTAATGTCTTTATTGGACACACACACAAGACCCAATTGGTCAACATTCGGCAGTTCGTCTTGCCAATTGATGCTTTGTTGGATATGAAAGTCCCATCTTGTGGTCTTTCAGAGTGTGACTGGGTATAAATTCTGCTGCTGATCTTGAATACGTCGCTGAATGTAAACTCCCCCTATCTATATGAATTTCATGATGATCCTCCCGCTGAAGGTTCAACTGGTTTTGTGTATGTAACCTTCTCAACCGCCACGTTCTCATTGCCCTTGTCGTCCTTTCGTAATTGGTAGACGTACAGGGTGAGTGAAATGCCTTGGACCTAGGGTAGTCAGTAACCAAACTCAAACACAGATAGCTGGCAAAGCACATACATCCATCAAACAGAAGCTTGGTGTTGGCTCTTCGCTCTCCAGACCTGATCCCTCTATAAAGGCGCCAGTCGCACTTCCGGGATTTACAAAGAACTTATCCATATACTCGAAGGCATCAAAGCGGTGAGTACCACCCCAGCACAGAACATCCACATCCAATTTGTTCGCCTCAGCCAGAAGAAGGTCAGGCTCATTAGAGACAAGTGTAAAACCCTCTAGAAATCCAATTCGAAGGCTTCCGTGGGTGACGACCTGCGTCAATGGCAGGGAAGTGGCCTCGACGTCATAACGGCCTTTCACGATCTTCAGATCGGGGGAGACAGATCGCAAGTACTCGTACGTGTGCTTATCGGTCAAGTTTCCGAGGCAAAGCGTCTGGCTGATCTTTCCGGGAGAGAGGAGCTTCTTGAACTACAGATACAGAGACGCTGTTAGCGATGCGCGCGACCTTGGAAGCACCGCGCGTACCTTGGCGGGAATGTCAAGCGCCCGATCCGGGATATGGAGGTCTCCTATGACGAGAATGAGGAAAGCCATGATGTTTCTCTAAAGATGGGAGAGAAAACGAGGCTATAGACGTATTTGCGATTGAGTAACGAGAGGCGCGAGCTGCTAACACCTTACCCAAGGTCAGCTCCGAGGGGCACAGCTACAGCCAAGTACGTAGGCGCCCGGATACAGCGGTAAGCTGACGCCACATCTTCATAACGGGGAGGGTGACAGATGTGGCTTAGCTTACACTTAGGGAGCCCACATCAAATCCTTATCGGTTCAGCGGGGTGCGATAAGCAAGTAAAAATTTGGGAATTTTTGGCTGGGGTCTCTTTTCACCGAACGATTAATACAGTTGGTGGTTGCGCATTGAATTGCTCAGAATCAAGATGGCGACCCCTTCTCTGGCTGAAAAGCTGGACAAGATCAAGTCCCCTGGACTTCAGAGTCAAAAGAGGGTATGTCTTACTTTTCTCTGTCAACTCAAGCGTCTTCAATCTCGAGTCGCACACTAACAACTTTTTGTTTGCAGACTGTCGTTGTACTCCAGGCCGTCGAGTCGACTCTCAAGGAACAGAACACGGCTCCCACACCAACAGGATACTTTGCGGCTCTTCTCGCCCTTCTTCAGCAGGCGAACAGCAATGACACTGTGAACCCAGAATTGGCGACTCCCGTCGTCTACCTTCTCGACGTCGTTACGCCTTATGCCCCACAACCTCTCCTTCGATCCAAGTTCACACAGATTCTTACTCTTCTCGCCCCGGTTCTTTTGTTGCAGGATGCCGAGGCCATGTTGTTGCGATCGTCCATAGGATGTCTCGAATCTCTTCTTTTGGCCCAGGATGCGGCTTCTTGGGAGCTTTCTGTCTCTCAAATCGGCCCTCGACGTGCTGTTGCTGGACTCTTGAACATGTCTGTTGACCACCGACCGAAGGTGCGAAAGAGGTCGCAAGATGCTCTGAAGAAGGTTCTTCGAAACCCGCCCCCGAGCCCTTCTCTGGATCATCCCGCTGCCGACATGTGCGCCCAGACTGCTACCAAGAACCTCGAGGATCTCGCCGGCAAGATTGCGCAGGCGCGCAAGGGAAAGAAGGCCGATGCTAGTCACGACCCTGCTATGATCCACGCCCTTCAACTGGTCAAGACTGTTGCGGCTGCCAGTGGTGGCTGGCCTAGCAAGAAGATTGAGTCTCTGTGCGAGCTCCTCTTGGGCATTGCCAAGAGCGGAAACGAGTACATGACCATGGCAGCTTTCGAAATTTTCGAGATGATCTTCGAGGGTATGACAGACGAGGTCTCATCAGCCAAGCTCCCGCGACTTATGGAAATCATCTCCGAATTGCGACCAGCTGCCAACGACACCCAACTTGTTCCCCCGTGGCTCGCCATTCTGTCCCGAGGATACGATGTTTCCGCCCAGGTCGAGCCTGAGGAGACTTTCCAGAACCTCCCCCAGCTGTTCGATATGGTCGCTCAGTTCCTCGAGGCACCCTCTGAGAACATTCGAATTTCCGCCTCAGAATGTCTAGTTTCTTTCATGGCCAACTGTATCCCTCGAAATGTCATCCTCGAACCTTCAATTTTCGACGAGAAGGTTCTCGAGAAGCTTGCCAAGTCAGCAGAGTCTCTTTTGACTGTTCAGTTCCAGGCTGCTTGGCTCCAGACTTTCAACGTTTTGGGAGCCATGTTCGATACTTTGAGATGGAGGTCTTATCCTATCTTGATGAACGTCACCAAGACTATTGGTGAAATCCGAGAGAACGGTTCTTTCCGCAACAAGAAGGAGGCCGACGAGGTTATTGGAAAGGCTATCCGAGCAATGGGCCCCGAGGCTGTTCTCTCCATTCTCCCTCTTAACCTCGCAAAGCCGGCAAAGGGCCAGCCAGGTCGTGCTTGGATGTTCCCTATTCTACGAGATTACACTAGCAACACAAACCTAGCTCACTTCAAGAGTGAGATGGTTCCTCTCAGTGAGGTTATGTTCCAAAGGGTTCTTGACCATGGACAGGCTGAGAAGACAATGGAGGTCAAGATTTACGAAACAGTTGTCCAGCAGATCTGGTCTACTCTTCCCGGCTACTGCGATCTTCCTCTGGATCTTACCGATGCTTTCGACCAGGGCTTCGCCGAGATTTTGGCTAACCTCCTGTACAAGCAAGTTGAGTTGCGACTGGATGTTTGCAGGGCACTCAAGACTCTGATCGAATCCAACCAAGCTATTGCCAATATTGAGGACCAGGAGGAGGATCTCGTTCTTCAGAGCCGAGTCAGCCGTGCTGATGCCAAGAAAAACCTCCAGTACCTTTCCAACTTTGCAGGCAACATGCTCGCAGTCCTCTTCAACGTTTACACGCAAACTCTTCCCCAAAGCCGAGGCCCTATCCTTCAGACCATCAACACCTTCCTCAGCATCACACCCAACGCTGAGTTGATGGAGACGTTCGACCGAGTCAGCACTATGCTCGCCACTGAGTTAGAGAAGGAGAAGCCTGTGGAGAAGAAGAAAGAGAGCCAGAAGTCCAAGGATCACATGCCTTCAACAGCCCAGACATTGATGGATCTCGTTATCACAATGTCCGTTTATCTCCCCAGGGAAAGCTTCGCCGCTCTTTTCAAGATTGCCGAAGTCATCATCAACAAGGAGGAGGAGCCTCAACTTCAGAAGAAGGCGTACAAGCTCATCCCTCGCCTCGCGGATTCTGAGATCGGAAAAGCTGCTCTCCAGGAGAGAAGTGCTGAGCTCCAGCAACTTATCGTCTCTAGCACTGAGAAAGTCTCAGCCCCTGCTCGACGAGAGCGCCTTGCTGCCATCATCGCCCTCCTACCTTTTATTCCCGACACCTCCCTTCACTTCATTCCTGCTGTGCTCAGCGAAGTTGTCATCTCTTGCAAGGAGAACAATGAGCGTGCCCGTGAGACAGCATACGAGCTCCTCGTTCGCATGGGACACCGTATGGTCCAGGCTAACGGAACACTCATCGACAACAGCAAGGTCCCTCACATGCCTGATGATGCCCCTGCAGGAACCGCTAATATCGAAGAGTTCTTCACCATGGTGAGCGCTGGTCTGGCTGGTAGCACCCCTCATATGATCTCAGCTTCTATCACAGCCATCAGCCGACTTCTATATGAGTTCCGAAGCGAATTGAGCGACGCTACTCTATCTGATTTGGTCCAGACCATGGATCTCTTCCTTACCTCTAACAACCGAGAGATCGTCAAGAGCTGCTTGGGTTTCGTCAAGGTATGCGTTATCAGCCTCCCTGTCGAGCTCATGCTTCCTCGCCTCTCAACTCTCGTGCCCAACCTTATTGTCTGGAGTCACGAGCACAAGGGCCACTTCAAGGCCAAGGTCAAGCACATCCTTGAGCGCATGGTCCGTCGCTTTGGCTACGACAACATTCACAAGAACACCCCTGATGATGACAAGAAATTGATTGTCAACATCCGAAAGACCAAGGAGCGTTCTAAGAAGAAGAAGGATGCTGCCAAGGGTGAGCATGACGGCGACGATAGTGACGACGACGAGGCTCAGCCCAAGCGCCAGTTCGAGAACGAATATGACCAGGCCCTTTACAGCAGTGACTCCGATGATGATGGTGAATCCGACGATGAGGCTCCTAGGCAAAAGAAGAAGGCCCAGAAGGGTGGCAAGACATACATTGTTGAAGATGACGACGAGCCTCTCGATCTGCTCGACAAGAAGGCCTTGGCCAACATCTCCTCTACCAAGCCTGTCAAAATGCGCAAGCCCACACGCACCAAGGCCAAGGTCGACCTCGATGGCAAGCTCATCCTCGGCAAGGACAGTGACGACGAGGGCGCCATGGACGTCGATGAGCCTAACCCTGAGGCTTCAGGCGTTGGTGCCTACGTCGCCGCTCTCAAGGGCAAGGATGTCGCCAAGCGCGGTCGCGGAGGCAAGCTCAAGTTCTCCAACCGTCGCACCAAGGACGACGACGATGAGGACTTCGAGATGGACGACAACGATGTTGCCACAGTCAAGAGCAGGATCAGCCCTGGACGGGATAGGGGGAGCCGTGGAAGCTTCCGCGGTAGAGGAGCCGGTCGTGGCGGGAAGAGTGGAAGAGGAGGCATCGCTGCAGGACGAAAGGGACTTGGTGTTGAGAAGAGACATGGAGTGTCTGGCGTGGGAAAGCCTAGGAGAGGACGCAACTAGATGCCATAGTTATACCCATTCGATGCGTCATGAGGTTTCGGCATTCGTTTTATATTTCAAGTTCGAGTTTAGATCATGGGTTGTTTCAGGGTAAATAAAAGTCAAGCAATTACGAAGTCTATTAGTACACACTTCATCATCGTATCATGGGGTGTAAATGTATCGTCCAAAGTTCTAACCATTCAAGTACTAGTCATTGTAGTCAAGTCTTTCCACCGATCGGGGTATCATCAGATCATGCCATCGTCCAAAGTTCATTCCATCACCATCGCTTTTGCCGGACTGCAATATCAACAATGTAACCTCCAACGCCTGTTTCCATGCTCAACGCGCTCAAATACTTTACGCACATGCATTATCATGAGCAAAACAAACAGTATTCGAACTTCTCAAAATCATGCAGCATTACTCAAGCACAATTACATCCTCCATTCGACGCGGGTGAAGAGGCGGAGACCGTCTGTCTCCTGCAACAACGGGCTCTTCTCGGTAGTATCGATGTACTGGCTCCCGATATTGAAAAGGTTCGGGTACTCGTTCTTCGTGACGACTATACCGTGTTAGTGTCTATCTGATTTGAGGAGTCACATTCTGCTTACACCTCGCGGTACGGTTCGTAGCCTGGTGCCAATGGCTCATTCATGACCGGGCGAGGCTCTGGGCCAGGTGGATTATAGCGGATGGGACGAGGGTCTCGCTCAAAGTAGCTCCTAATATCACCTCGAGCTCCTGAAGACACAGGGACATGAGCTGGTCCGGCCCGGTGTTCCGTTATAATAGGGCGTTGTCGATCGTCCAGAGGCACGCGGTTGATGGGGATTATCTCAGTGTTTGCGTTGGTTCGGCTGCCTGGTACTAGCCGGGAACCGTCTTGCCAAAGGGCCGCCTGTTGCTCCCTTACAACTCTATATGGCTCCGGAGCAAGCCTGAAGCCAGGCCCTGCTTCATCACGGGATGATGCTGGAAAATCTCCAGTTGAATGGACTGGCACTCGTTCATAGAACCCACCGCGATCTTCCATGACAACTTGGGTATCACGATCGCCCGGTCTTTGCGGCTCGTCATATGGCCGACGACTTACTAAAATCCTCGCTGGGTTGTTCTGTGTTCCACGCGATCTTGTATCATAGCGATATGAAGGATCCAAAGGAGCCGGAGGAGCAGGTATTCCATGAGATCTTGTATTATAGCGATGCACAGGGGCATCGAACATTTGACCACGGGGTGATGAGGTATCGTGGCCAGAGATTTGATAGGGTCTATCTCCATGAACCAATGGCTCACCCATTACAGGCCGTGATATTTCCATGGGCTTGCCTCTTGTAATAGGGCCTCGCAATGGAGAAGAGATGATGGCTGGATGCTGTATACTGGTAGTCATAGGCGGCTCATTTCTGAAGCCTTGTCCCCGAGGAGGTACTGCACGCACAAAGGACGGTTTCATAGTATCAGGAGACGCTGGCTCAATGGATTGCACCAACATATCCTGTAATCGATCGGCCACTCTCGACACAGGCGGATGTGTGCTAGGTGGCGCATCATAAAATGGTGACTTTACCTTGCGGGCAACTTGTGACCCTGAACTTATAAAATGGCCATTTGCGGGATACTGAGGTTTCCCAACATAACCGTTCTCATAAGGTGCAGGCCCTGCACCCCCAGAAACAAGTCTGAGCTGGGATGCAGCAGGCAACTCATCACCCAAAGGAACCAGAGCCGTAGGCGGCGGAGGGCCATGTGTGTACTGAGGAGATGGCCCTTGCGGAGATTGAGGAGCTGGCTCTTGTACATTGCGACTTCGATCAATAGCTTCTTGCCATGCTTGGTACCTTTTGAATCCGCGCTGTCCTTTCTTCTCGGCGGATGTCTTACGCTTGTTTTTCTTCACCTTTCCTTTTGGTTTGGGCGTGACGGGCGTTCTTGCGCCCGGGTTGAGTCTGGGAGATTGGTGACCGGAACCAGCCTGACCAGAGATACTCTGTACAGGCCTGCTGGGAATGGGATTCGTAGACTGATAAACAACCTCTTCGATGGATGAGCCGGACTCGTTGCCAGACTCCTCACCTTCCGAGTCGGATATCACAACAACTTCCCTCAATATCTCATCTAGCTGGTCCCGACCACTCTCCTCATCTCCTCGCCACTTGACGAGGGTGTCCAAACAAAGGGCCTCGACAACTTTGCGAGCATTCTGCCATGTGGTCTCCCTTAGCAAAGTGTCATACCTTGTATGGGTATGACGAATGTGAGCAAGCACTGCGAGTTGAACCCTTCGAGCGAGGGTTATGTCTTCCGAAAGGCCTACTTTTTCCTTGTTGTTTTTGTTCGATGGATCCTATTATTATAAATATCTCATCTGTATCAAGATGTTAGGAAAAGGAGGACAAACCCGTCTGAAAGCATGTTCAATGATCATCCGTCGGTCGGTATTTGGAATTCTGGGAAAGAGATCGCGTAAGGCAGCGTCGACCTGTGCATCGTATTCCTCTTGAGATTCGGGGATGGGTTCGGGGGCACCGCGAGCTGCTGGAAGCATATTCTCCATTACATGGCCTAGACTCGCGCGGGCTTCCTCAACGATTGTTTCTCTAACATGATGTCCGATACGATGGACTTGGTGAGCCAAGATATTTGAGCCGGATGCTTCTTTTGCGTTCTTCAATGCGACCAGGTTAGCAACAGCCGGTTGTGACCTATACATCTTATGTTTTGCATACCGATACGATAAATATCATGGCATCTTTTTCTCGTGATAGTTCTTTGCATGCTTGAGTTAGTTCAGGGTTGCCGGCAGGGACAAACTCGAAACCAGGAGGGGGTGTTTTCTTTGTAGTAATCTATACATGATGGTGAGTGCTGTGATGACCTCGTTGCGCAACAGTTGCATTATACCTGGAATTCAAGCTTCTTCTTTTTGTCCTTGTTTTCAACAAACTCGAAGTACGAGTGATGTTTGGTTGTCTTTGGAAGAGCTGGTTTGGCAACAAAGCCAGGGGGAATAGGTGCTGTATGATCATACTGAGATCTTTGTGCACGTCTATGCCTCTCCTTTGGGCCACCTGCCACAGCCGCGGGCAGGTTTCGTTTTTCTCTCCCCATTTTGTATGGCTATGGTTAGCTTACCATAGTGGCGAGTGATAGAAGTTTAGTTGATATGTTCCGACGAGGGAACTGAAATAGCAACTTGATAGGACCTTCTGAGGCCTAGTAGAACGCGAAATGTTTGCAGAGGATGATACTCTTTGCAGTACCTGTCTGCAAATGCAAGGGTGGTGAACGTATCTTCAAGGTTGGAGAACACAAGCAAAAAAGAATAGATTGTCGCGATGCGTGCGATGCTGCGCAATACTCTGCTATGTTATGCAATGCGATGCAACGACGAAATGTAACGGCCGAAACCGTTTCAAACTTTCACGAGTCGCAACAAGGCACAGATAGATAGACACGGTATATACAAACCGATAAGCGCGTTCCAGTTGACACTTTGGCCGGGCGAGGAATATGTCAGACACGACTGTTCAGGCGCGAGTGCAGTTGGGCGCGCACGGTTGTAGGGCGTAAGGCTCCGACGAGGTTCTCCAAATGCATGCAGATGGGGCCGTTGATGGATGGCCTCAAGAGGCTGAAACTAGAATCAGGCTGTCTCATGTAGCCAATCACGTGCCTTTGAATCCCATTGTCACGTGAACCTGACCACGTGATTAAACATGTGACCTTCAAGTATCCCGATCTCAAATTCACCGAGGCGCAAGCAACATCCACCAGGAGCTATTTTTATTATAGCATGGTCAGTTTGAAAGCCTCATTGCCTCTTGCTTTAATCACGGTCTTGGCAGAGGCTATGTGCTTGCGGTTCGGAACTGGAGTCACTAACGATCTAGCTTCACGGAAAAGTTCAAGCAACGCCAAGACCAGCAGACCAAAGTGGCTAATTTGCATGGGCTGTGCTCTTTAAACCATGCGAAATTTTATCAATGCTAAATCTTCTTTGGCCAGGATCATCAAATTAAGCTCTCATCGCTGCCGGCAGTTGTATTAGATCTGAGTAAAGCGAAAGCGAGGTCTTGGCGTAAGGTTGAACCAAGAACTTCAGATCAGAATTTGCAGATGGCTGAGAATTCAAGAACAAATCCAAAAGGGGTAAATTCTCGAGCCGTAACGTGAACCACAAGCCTGGTACCGATAATCAGTCGATCGACCATCATTCGAGACTCCCGCCACGGCAAAAACCCCGTAGCCAAAGCTTGTTTGAGGCTTCCGGTATGTGGGATGAAGTGAGGGAACCACTGTCGACGAAAGAAGAACCGTCGTTTTGTGAAACAAGTCTCGGTGGATGCATAGCAAAGCATTTTGGATGAAACTCATAATAACGGCAAACGCCGTATCCTCTTGTGTCATTGTCCATCATCGTCAGGGGCAGTGGAGAAGATAATCAGGGCGGCAGTTGAGCCAGCGCCAGGGCGACCACAAACTGGGAAGTTCTATTTTTGTCGAGACTGTCGATCGGTTTGTCTTGTCACGGGAACTCAACACTCATTGGTTGGGGAGTGGCAAAAAAACAAACCGGGTTTGAGGCTTGGATGTCAACACAGATCCGTTCTGTACGGATACTGACAGCACTGTAAACGCCGAAGTTTACTCGGTGCCTTCAGCATCTAGAGCCCGGCGACGGCATAACGGCGTTATTAACACCCGATGTCATTCTTTGTGGCACGATGGAGACCACCAGAGAAGATGAGTGGTCCAACCATCTCAAGAACGACGATCATTGAGCTTACTTGGGAAGCCAAGACTCCAACTTTGATGGCACAGCCTCATGGGTGCCCACTGATGTTACTGTGTGGGTTTACACGATTATAGCAGCGTGGCACAGTAGAAGATAGTGAGCAAACGGTAATGAAGAGCGAGCAATGAGAGATGGAGTATCGTAAAACAGAAGAGGAAAGCGAGCGGTGGGAATGAACCCCTTCAGGCTTCTGAAATGGACTGTGCTCGCGCTGGTGGGATTTTGGGATATGAAGGCGGTGGCAGTGCAATCGATAGATAATATTGATGGTGGCGGTCATCCCCGCAATGTCTTTACGGTAAGGCAAGGCCTTGTCTGTTCATTTCTTATTGAAATGAGCAAGAATCGAGGGAAATGAATCATATAGCGATTCTTCCCTGAGGATCTGAGTTGCCAATGCATCGCTTGAGGAAAAAGTAGCTGCATCTATACTTGAATATCGTAATAGTGGACTCCAGTAGCAGGAGACAAGCTTTGAAAAGCATACCAGCCAGTATAAGGGCACAATTCTATTGTTTTGTACAGCCACGCTCGGGTCGGACGGAAGACAAGTTTCACTACCCGCCAACGCTGATCAGTGAATTGGCTGGTATTTGTTGTTTACTGCACTCCGGTCTGCATAGTTCACACATCAGTGGTCAGAGGCTTCTTGTAGCAAGTCGCTGACGAGCATTCCAGCCATCATAACCGATAGCAATGGGCTGCCGCTTTGCCGTCCGGTTGGAGCAGCCGCCGGAATTAACGGTGACGATGAGATTGATCCTCTCCATCACATTGAACCATATCAGAACTATTGGACGGAGGAATTATTTAGCCGTGCTTTTGTCTGCATCAAGCTTGATAACCTCAAACAAGAGGGGACGATGGTATTCAGACGCAGGCAGAAGAATAATCAACCTGAGGCTTGACCAGATTGAGCCCAGGCCACGAAGCCTCAGAGGATGAGAGACGTAAGCTCGTAGCTGCATCTGCAGGTGAAGTCGACGATGGGCCAGAAATGCATACGAAAAAGCGCAGCCAAAGACGAGCCATGAGACTCTGAAGAACAAAAAGGCCAGCGCCATGCCTCCATCATGGGCTTTTTGGCACCAAGCCTGTCCCAAAGGGGCAGTTGAGCGTCGTCATCCTCAGGCCGCAGACGTCTCTGCTCGTTCGTTTCGCTCTCTTCTTGGAGCTAGACTCTCGCACCTTGTTCGCTTCGCACCCCTCGGAGGGCGAAACAGGGACACGCTCGCTGCTGTCTCTGAGAGGCTCGGTCATCAGAGGCTGAATCTGATTGGCCCCGAGAGTTACGGCGCTGCCTCAATGAGTTATCCACCTCCTTGGCCCTTGGCTTCCACCCTTGGCTTGCACCACCCAAGAAAAGAGCTGACGCGTCCTCACTCCTCTCTCTCACTAGTCGGATTCCCGGCCGCCGATCTATCCCTGCTCCCTGGTCAGCCCTGACAATGGGCAGCGTTACCTGACAGACAGACCTGGATCTAGCGGCTCATAGCGCTCGAATGGAATCAATTCAGGGGCCGAGTCCCTGAAGTTGGGGGCCTTGAGCATGTTTATAGTGGGTTCTCTAAGTGGGCTTCAGTGGCTTTCACCAACTGCTTCCTCCCTGACACGCCGGGGATCTTGTTGTCGGACCCGGCGGGTACGTACCGCCGACCAAGGCACCCACCCCATTCATAGAACACGGTCCCTCCCCAGTTCCCGATTTTCTGCTTGGTTCCATCTTTCCCCTTCTCAACTTCCAAACATTCGCTTCTGTCACAGAACTTCCATCTCTCAACAACTACTTTTCACCGATCACTTAAACAAGATAACACAAACAGATCAAATCTATCGCGACAATACTCGAGTCTTCCACTTATCATCATTTGGGCGACGAATTCAATCTCTCACTCATTAAGACTCTATCCTCCGGTATCGCCGAACTGATACAACAATATGTCGGCTCCTGGCCAGAATAACGTCGATATCGACGCCCTCCTCGATCTTACCGAGTACGACAACTTCCAATCTCCTGCTACTTCAGTATCACCATCAGGAACCTCAAAGGCTACCTTCGCGAGCCCTATCTCAGCCGCTGTCGCTGCTCCCGTTACCACAACTGCCCAGAGCCTGAGCGGTCCTAGTCATAACTATGACATGTATCGACAACAGACGGGTTTTGTGCCCGGTGCTATTGCCAACACCATGGCCGTTAACCAGACAAACAACACTGGCTACCAAGACTTCCGTAGCATCGACTACCTAACCACCTTCAGCCCCGAGGCCGATCTGTTTGATTTCAACACATCTCCTTCGCAGGCTACTCTGGGTGCTTCGGATATGGACATGGACTTTGAGTCGCAGACCGACACACAACAGTTCTTCACTGTCGACCCTAGCAGTATTGAGCAAGAGAACGCTGGCCTTCCTTCACCACCCGTTCTACCTACACAGAACAACGGCCGTCTCTGGCCCGGCGCTCACTCTCAAGCCGCTCTTGCCAAGGCTCAGGCTCAACAGCGACAGCAACAGCAGATCATTCAGCAACAACAGCAGGCTCAACGCCAAGCATCTCAGCCCAAGTCTCGTGGCAAGGCTCCTCAGCCTACAGATCCTATCGTTGAGCAGAAGATCACTCAGCTCCTGAACTCCATGCGAGCCAAGCCCTCAATGCCCGAGAGCCAGGCTACAAGCCCCATGGCCAATCTTCCCCGATCCAAGAAGGACGAAGAAGAGATGGATGAGGATGAGCGCCTCCTGGCTAGTGAGGAGGGCAAGAAGCTCAGCAGCAAAGAGCGACGACAGCTTCGCAACAAGGTCTCGGCTCGTGCTTTCCGTTCCCGCAGAAAGGGTAAGTCTGCTCCCTCGCGATTAATTGAAACAGTTTGCTAATTACCTCTCAGAATACATCACTCAGCTTGAGTCTGAGATTGCCAATAAGGTCAGCGAGAATGGTGACCTCCGAGCTCAGAACCGTGCTCTTGTTGACGAGAACAAGCGTCTGACCGACCTCACCCGTATGCTTCTCTCTTCGCCTTCTTTCTCCAACTTCTTGGACAACCTCAGCAGCAACCCTACCGCTGTTCAGCAGACTCCTCAGCTCAAGGTTGAGCCTCAACCTGAGCAGCGACAGGTGCCCAAGGACATCAACCCCTACAACGCTCAGCAATCTTCTCAGCACCAGATCGGTATGGCCATGATCCCTGAGCAGAACATGGACTTCTCCATGCTCACTCTCGATGGTTCTTTCAACTTCCAGCCTCAAGTCTTTGTTGTCGACACCCCTGAGCTTCCTGATGCTATTGACGCTTCTGTTCTCTCTGGCAAGACCTCCAACTTCGCTGAGCCCATCTTCGATTCCGAGGAGGAGAAGCTTGAGGTGCCCGCCATTGAGCGCCCTGTTGAGAAGCCTGAGGTTTCCGAACCCGTTGATGCCGCACCTATTGATCTTGAGTTTGAGTCTGATCCTGAATTCGCCCTGTTCCACACTGAAACCGCTATTACCACCACTGAGCAACCCAAGGAGTTTGATACTGAGGGTCTATCGCATGTTGACATCTTTGGCGGTGTTGAGTCCGAAAAGGTCCTCGCCCGTCTTGAACTTGTCGATGCCGGTGAGGAAGAGTGTGCAGCTGCTCTGGCTATGGCCCGCGTGCAACGTATCAGCGCCAGCTGTGACGCTGTTACATCAAGGTTAGAACTTCTTACCATTGACCTGTAAACAGTGGTTTAGTGGACTGCGGGGGATGGGAAAAGGACATGCACTAAGCGCTTCATTATTTTCTTATTTGTAACTTTTGGGATTCCCAGCGGAATTGGGATGGGATTAGGCGTTACTGGCACAAAGGATAAATCGCCCATACGAGGTTTCATCGCATTATCTATTTTGTTTTTATCTCCTATTTGGAACGATTGATGACACAGGGAAGTTGTGTATAGTTAGATAGAAAGGCCTGCCGCCGCTCGATATCACAAATTAAACATTGAAGGCTATGATCTGTTTGTTTCTACGTGATGTACTATGCCTTGCATACCTTCTTGCATCTCTAACCTGACTTTAGCGCTGACCTATTGTCTGTAAAGTCTGCCTGCATGGATCTCCGCAAAAGAACCATGATGAGTGGCTGTGTTGCATGTTAGTAACCGTTCGTTGGTTCTGTTAAGTACCGTATCATTCCGTTTCTAATTCAGTGATAATTGCAATGTCCCTTAAGTCTACATCTCCAGTTCGACTAATGAGTCAACGTGCTTTTCGAAAAAGAGCTCATGTTGGTGATTTGACAATCTTCAAAGAAAATAATTCTACGCCGTCGATTGAGGTTTCGCGAAAACGATCTAAAAGAACTGGGCCTTCAAGTTTCGGTCTGCACTACATTTCTCACCATCAACATTCAACCTCTCATTCTAAGGCTCTTTTCACGAATAAGGCTCAATACTCGTCTGTATCTTTATTACCATCCATGGCCGATGTCGTCCAACCATCAGAACCGACAGCTCCAGAGTCATACATCTATACACCATTCACAAATAACTTTACAATTCGCATTCTCACTCTTGAGCCTGGTACGGGCGATGACCCATTAGTCGGTCATCTCGGCTTCGAAAATCTTGATCTCAATCCACAATATGAAGCTATCTCATATTGCTGGGGAACAGATGGTCGATCCTCTGAGATTACATGCGATGGGAAACCGCTTCCATTAACGAAGAGCATTGAAGGCGCTCTCCGTCGTATGAGACATGCAACTAAACAGCGACGCTTGTGGGCGGATCAAGTCTGCATCAATCAGGACGATATTGCCGAACGAAGTCAGCAAGTCAGTCTGATGAATGCTATTTATAAGGGAGCAAAACATGTCTTGGTATGGCTTGGAGAAGACAAGGTAGGGCATGGGCAGGCGGCTATGGACATGATTCACTACCTCGATGGAGTGTTTAAGAACGAGGAGCTGCATAATGAATTCAAAAGAGCTCATTCAGAAGAATTGTTAAGTCAGGATAGAAAACCTTGGGTGCCGTTCTCAAATCTATCGAGGCTGCCATGGGTGAGTTTTATGTGAGACACTCAAGAGCTTTATACTAACGAGAATAGTTTAATCGTATATGGATTGTTCAAGAAATAGGAACAGCAGCACCGGCAACTCTTTACTGGGGCGACGCTGAAATTGACTGGGAAATTCTATCATCAGTCGCGGGCATCTTGAATACGACCTACCACTTCCTACGCTCGCGGTTCGCCGTCTTCACACCTAACATCCGATACTTATATCAACGCTTCGTTGAGCCAGAGGAGGCATACGATGTCAACCATAACCGCGCAGCCTTCATATACGAACTTCACCGTGCAAGGCATCTCTTATCCAAAGACCCTCGAGATCATGTCTATGCTTTTCTTGGCCACTTCTCCATTCGCACTGGTAGTTCGAGCCTTGCAGAGTTGGTGGCGGATTACAGCAGATCGATAGAAGATATCTTCTACGATGTAGCAGTTAGAGAACTCTCTGGGTGCGAATCGCTTCTGCTTTTGTCTGCTTGTCATGCTATACCAGCTACATACAAGAAACGAATTATGAAGAGGGGAGATTTACCAACTTGGGTTCCAGACTGGCGTGTTGTGCCTTTACATCTGATGGGAACCCCTGTGACTCCTCATAGAGCATCAGGGGAGTATCGACCTCAATTGCATATCGACGAAGAAACACAAGCTCTTCACATCTACGGTGTTCGCTTAGATCGTATCCGTCGACCATCGTGGATCTTCTGGAACAACGCTTTTCACTTCCGTCGCAACAACCCTTTTCGCCTCCCCATCGAGGGCTTATGGCGAGATATTTGTGGTCGAAACCAACCCTTCAGCCTACGACAACGCTATAGAAACGGCGACTCTGCCTTTTTCGCCCTTGTGCAAACACTTACAAATGCATGCATCGGAGCAGATCGCTCACGGCCGTATGAGAGTATTCCGAAGGAAGAGTGGCTCGCCAACGGCGCAGCGTATCTCGTCCGTGCCTTAGATAAACCTGGTGCTGTTTCACCAGAGATACAAGAGCTTGCGCAAACGGGAGATGGTTTCAAATGGAGCCATGAAGCAACGCTTGTTACGCGGTATCGAGGTTTTGCGATAACTTTTGGGGGATGGTTTGTTGTTGGGCCGGATATTATGCAAGCTGGAGATGTTGTTGTTGTGCTATACGGAGGTCGAACGCCGTTTTTGCTAAGGAGAAAGGACGACGGGACGTGGATACTTGTTGGGGAGTGTTATGTTCACGGGATGATGAATGGGGAGGTTTTTGACCTTGATGGGGTTGAAGAGGAGGAGTTTATTATTGTGTAAGGCGTGTTGGATATAGATACCCCCATGGATAAACATCCATTATCTGTCATTTTACCAAACCAAGAAGATGTCTGGAGATCATTATTTCAACGACAATTGTGAGATTATTCTAACCTTTAAACAGTTACTCATCATATAATTCCCAGCGAAATCTATGTTTATGTGATAGTCTCAGTTCAGTCAATTTGAACTACCTGTTATAGAATAACAGTCCTTTCAGTTTGTGCCACATATGGCCAGCAATACCTAACATCTCCAAACGAGCGTATATGCAAACTCGCCAATACTAACGCCTGTAAAATCCATCCCAGTAGGTATCAATAGCTCGAGCGATTGTAAGAATCAAAGGGTATAACCATGCATGCAAAAGTTCCTCGTCCAGTTCCAAGATCCTCCATATAGTTTCCCTGTTCACTCGTCCATGCTTATTCAAACACTCTCACGAGCCTTCACTGGTGCCGCTCCCATAACGCTGATGTCATCGTCGCTATCATCCAACGATCGTAGGTGAGGAGGAGGAGGAGATCCCAAGTCCTTGGTCACGATACCAGAAGTCTGAGGAGGCAGTTCGTTTGGACTTCGAAGCTCCCAGCTACCAACACGCTCATGGTGAATGCCTTGCTTTGTCACCACCACATCCGCGTCGCCATCTTTCTTCTTAGGTCCTTTAAAGCCTCCAGCAGTGCTTCCTACAGCAGCGGCACCGTGTGTTGACTCTTCAGGACCCTTCCGGCGTAATCGAAGACCGCCGCAGACACACAAGCAAATAAGTAGGACACCTAGTACAGCAATCGCAATTATTGCTCCAATAACTCCTGCGATGACTGGCCCAATCGAAGAATCATCTCCCCAGTTGGAGCTATCTGAGTCCACGAGAATACACCAAGGAGCAGGTGTAGGTCCACAAACGTTGCACCACTGGTTAGGTGACGTTCCGAGCGCATTCATAGTCTGTATGAAACTAGAGTATGCGATACCATCAGGACCAGATTTGAAGATAGGTTGATTCTGGAAAAATTCGTCCGCATCTGCTGAAGCACGGTAGGACATTCTCACACGAAGACTATCCGTGGATGGCTGTCGATCGGGAGAGTCCGGGTCTTCACCGAAAAGCTCAAAGACCAATGCTGCGCCAGGCTTAGGGAGCGTTGACCAAGGCTCTTGAAACATGTTGTCTTGCGTGACAAGACCTGACAGTGAAATAAAGCTCACTATGGGCTCGAGGGAACCAAACATCAGTGTGAGTTTGTTGTAGCTGCTCCCCCAGCGAATGTTGCTCCTGAACTGTGATGCGACCTTGTACGCCATAGTTCGACCAGCGACAGAGTAGAGAACACCAAGTTCGCTGTTGTCGTCTGAACCGCGGTAGCTGTTTTGTGCGCGCTCCATGGACAATGCATAAGTGTTCAGAAGAGACAGCGTTGAGTTTGCGTGTTTGAGCTCCTCGTGGACTGTCTCATTGTGTCGATACTGATAATCGACGAATTCCCAGAGTTGGTAGGCGTTCCAGAAATTAGCATAGTCGTTGTCAATTGTGCCCTCGAATGGGGCAGTGGAGAAGAGGTTTTGGTAGAAGGGCAGAGTTGATTCGTAGAGATCGTCGAGGCCGGTTTCTTGCGTTAGGTTTGTGGTGATCTCTGTCTGCCATGCTGAACATCTCGAGGTGCCTTGTAATCTGTATTATTTTAGTCAAACTTAGATACGGAGAGGTCAGTGAGCATACGCTGTTGATTCTGGGTCATAGTAGCCCGGAGCTCTAATGCTGGGGTATTGATATCCGTCCAAAGGATATTCAGTCTTGTTATCACTGGAAGCCAAGCTCACAGCAATTTCTTCGCCTCCAGTGCTGTTATCAAATGCGTTTGGTGACGGTGGATAGAAGCCCTGCATGAAAGCCAAAGCACCAGTCGATACCCATTCATCTGTCTGAGAAATAATGTCAAGGTCGTCATTGTCAATCACATCGGGTTTGAGATTCTGGAGATAAGCGGTTTGAATGCTCTGATAATCTGAGTTGTTCACGCCGTCTGGGATATATCGAGCACGGAATGCAGTTCCTTGTCGCAGCATCTGCTGAGCTCCCTCGGGTGTCAAGACGGTACGAAGATTGGCTACTATGGGTGTCCTTTCGCCATGGTTGATGAATGCGACGGCAGCCCAGACCTTTTCTCCAGTGCCGGCTGATTGTGCAATAACGTCATGGGCGAGGGGCAAAGCTGCGATGAGCTTGAATAGAATCATATTGAGGGTAGTGTCTTATACGACAATGCAATGGGAGTTCAACTATAAGTAATCAAAACGAAGCTCTTCCTTCACCATCGAAAAGGTGAGGCAATTGAAAGAGAAGAGAGGCGAAGACCCAGCTCAGCTCAGAAGAGGTGAGGGCCTTAGATAGGTAGCTTATGGTAGAACAAGCTGCACCTACATCTGCAACTGACCGTCATCCATCCACCCAACGCCTGATGCAGCTCTAACACGACCGAGGTTCATGTACAAGAAACCAACGCCTAGTCACAGCGGCACAGAAACTCCTCTCAACTTTCCATTGGCATTCCTCCAACAAGGCTGGCATTGGAAGCGGGGGGGGGGGGGGGCACGATAAAGCCATGGAGGGCCGGCAAGCGATGAGATAGGTCAGCTCACCATGATGCCATCCAATGGCTGAGCTAAAGGATGCAGCCCAGCTTCTTTGATGCTGTGAGTTTAAAAAAGGCCAAGATAGTGCTGAGTGCGGGGTGAGGTGAGCGGATAGAGGAGGCTGGGAAGACGATAAGCCCAGCTCAACTGCAATGGCCAAGATCTCGATGGAAGAAACATTGAGTCAATGATTTTAAATAGCCAAGGAACTGATTCATTCGTGATAAGTACCAAGACCCAAGGCTCGCTTTGGCTTGGCTTTGACCGCTGACTGTGCAGATCTATCCATAAAGAGAATGCTTACCACGGCGGGGTTTGCAGGTCGCGCAATTGAAGGTCATCCTCGTGACATAGAGTAAGACAGGACTACGGTAACATAAGGCCAAATCTAATTCTTTGATACGAAGAAAATGTTTTGGTAAAGGGATATTGACGTCAGTTGCCTTGGAGCCAGCTCGGAGCTAAATGCGCCCACTGACGGCACTTGTAATTGACTAACATAGGGCTTAACACCAATTCCTTGATATCCAGTCGGCGTTTGAGAAGTTTTTTTGACTTCATGCAGTGATTTATTTGCGTCACTGAATACAGCTTTATATTTAGCCAGTCTATGAATAAAGAGCTGTCCAGTGTCTCATATTGTGGTTTATTTAGTCGCTATCGTAACTCAAGGGACAGCGACTCATGTCCCTAGTATAGATGGCTTGGTGCAACTCCGAATCTGGCCGGTATTGGACACAGGCATAATCATAAGACCCTTTTCTCATACTGGTAACCCGAAATAGCCTTTGAGAAGAATATTCATGAGATGCTTGAAGAAAATACACATTGGATGGGATACGAGGTTACAAGGTACCCGAGTGTTGAGCCCCCACCGTTACTTGCAACGCTCGGAACCGTTAATGTAAATTTATTTATGAAATTCTATGAGGTTTGATACAAGGCTTGCAGCCAAGTACGCAAATCGGCTAGGTGGTAGTCCATTCGGTCTCAGGCTGATGATATGGCGCAGAGTGTGTAGTGTTTTCTGGGTTTGTGAAGGCCCGTCTTCATGAGCAATATCCGTAGCCCCTGTCTCAGACCTGATACAACAAGTTCGAGGTGTAGTAAAGGGCAATATCATTCTCCTGGCATATTTTGTTAGCGAGCCTCAAAGTCTACTTAATAGTGGCTAATCAGTGACTTCAGTATGTGAAGACAACACACAAAGTGACGAACTAACAACGGCCATCGCTTTGAAGATGTGACCACCTAGCTAGTCAAGGATCAACAAGGGTGAACAGTTCAGGTCCCTTGAGTAACGATGTATTATGTATTGTGTAACTTGTTGACTTGACTGTATCACGATGGAGTATTTCGTCTGCGCCTACACCCTCCAGGTTCTTAGCTTGCGATCATATCATGCACGATAAGGCATGGAAGTGGACTCTTTCACTTTAGTCATCAACCCCATCATCTCAACAAAGGACTATGAATACTCAATTTCACGGACAGCCACTGATGTTTGTTTTATGACACACTTGTGCAAAAGCTCTCATGGTGGTAATGTCTGAGAGTTACCAAGAAAGTTTTCGGTTCCAAAACTTCATCAGCAGTTACTATGACGAAAGGAGCACGGCTGGAGAAAACTGTCAGTGGTTGACTGTAAACAAAGACATAATCACTTTCTCACAGTCTTTAAAAACGTGAACATGAGCCTCCCATATGAAGTCCGGAAGTGGTTCTTGGGAGGGATTAAATGAGACATCATAAGAGCCAGGTCTCCTCCGTGAGCCCTTTCGCCAGCGTGTCAGTCAGATATTCAAGGAATCAAGAAGATCAACACTGCGCAAAGAAATTTGAAAGCTGAGATAGAAGATGCTGCGTGTTTGGAATGATGGATCAAGTTGAGCTTGTCATACAATAGCCTTGATGCCGGGATGGAAGTGTGTATCTAAGTTACAACCCCCAACAGTCAACTCGAGCGAATCACGATAGCTTACCTATAGGGGTGCATATGCAAAACATGGACACTACAAGCTGTTCATTTAGAACAGCATAGTGAATTGCAGATGAAGAACAAAGCGGAGGTATGGCTGCAGAGCAAACAACCAGTTGACTCAGCCCTGAAGCAGGGACCACAGATGGGGGTGAGGTGCTCGTGGGCTAATGTCGCCTAGGTGGGACAAAGCCAGGCCAGGATAATCGGTAGTGGACGATGTCCCCAGCTTTTGGATCCTAGGTTTCAGATGCCAATCTTATCAATCTGATCAAGCTGCATCAGGTGAAGATCTTTAAGCAATGCATAACAAAGCTTATGTGTGCTTCCAGAAAACAGGACAAGTCACTGCACTTTCAGTGTCGAATAAAAGGTTATCATCCTT